CAATAAACTGCTCTGAAAAAGATTGATGATAATCTAAAATTTTGCTACTTAAAGTATAGTCTGAGGCCCAGCATTATGAAATCACTTGAGAGCATTCTTAAACAATGCATCATTCAGATTTACTAAATTAGATTGTGCATTTTAACAAGATCTTTAAGGAATCAAATGCACATTAAAGTTTTGAGAAGCACTGATTAATGCATAGCTAATTCAGTGGAACTTTGTGTAGCACAGATCTAAAGCATCAGCTTCCCCTGCCTCACCCAGAAAATCTTGGGTAGCTGACAATAATATTGAACAGAAAACCAAATACCACATGTTCTCACGTATAAGTGGGAGCTGAGCTGTGGATATGCAAAGGCACACAGAGTGGTATAAATACACATTGGAGACTCAGAAGTGGGGATTGTGGGAGGGGGTGAAGGTGATAAAAAATCACCTACTGGGTACTATGTACACCATTCAGGTAATGGGCATACTTAAAGCCCAGACCTCACCACTACACAATTCATTCAAGTAACCAAAAACCACTTGTACCCTAAATCTATTGAAATAAATTTAAATAATAATAGTAATACTGACAACAAAATGTGAGACCCATTACTACAGATGATCACTGTAGACATTACAATTAGTTTGTTAGGAATGACTAAACTTTTGGAAGGCCAAGGCAGATGGATTGCTTGAGCCTAGGAGTTCGAGATCAGCCTGGGCAACAGTGAAAATCCCGTCTCCACCAAGAAATGACAAAAATTAGCTGGGTGTGGTAGTGTGTGCCAGTAGCCCCAGCTACTCAGGAGGCTGAGATGAGAAGATGGCTTGAGCCTGGCAAGCAGAATTTGCAGTAAGCTGAAATCGCACCACTGCAGCCCAGCCTATACAACAGAGCCAGACCCTGTCTCAAAAAATAAAGAATAAATGACTAAAACTACCAATTGTATTATAACTTTTAAAACTTAGCGATTATGTCATGTCTTCTTTCATAGTAGGCAAATAAATTTGTATGTCTAACAGATTTAAATATTTTAATGATAATTAAGAAGACATTAATCTATTGAATGTAATAAATTTTTGAGAATAAGAAAAAGTCCAAGATAACATTAGAAGTAGCTATAAAGTAATAATAAAAGAGGATAGAAGTTATATATGATTAATTAACATGTAATCTACTATTGGTTGATTGCCCATCTGCATTTTTCTTTGAATGTATATTTTTCTAAAAATTGTTAAGGTCTTTTATTTTGATTTCTTAAGATAACCTCTGCAGCATTTGTTTCTTGCATTAAAGTTCTGTAATTACACATTTTTTTCCACCATAAAATCTAGAGGTAAAACTAGATCAATAGCTAAATATACCCAAAATGTATAATTTTTACTTATGAAAAGTGTTTCTTTGACTGAAAAATATTAACCTTGAATATTGTAAGGGTTCTGTAAAGTAAAAACAGAAAACTTTATTTTATTTTTTGTGTCAACCTTAGTCACTTTGAGGTTTTCTGCTTTATTTTCAGAAGCCATGGTTACTGGAAGCATGAGAGTCAAAACTAAGGCTAATTTACTTTATTTGCAATCATAAGAATTTATACCCACTCCCACTGCTTCACTGGAATAATAAAAAAAGGAATTTTTAAGTGTCGTGATTTTACTTAAAGTGAATTACTTGTATGTTGAAATTTATTGGATAACCTTACTAGTGATTTTGCAATCTCTAACATATGCAAATAATTTAGTTTTCAGAGCTTGTTTTAATATTTGAATACAAACTCAATTAAAATAATTTAAAAAACAAAGTATTATTCAATTGAGTGATAACAGGTAAAGTAATTATTTAGCTTGTAAGTTTTCAAATTGCCCATTTAGGTGTTTTAGTCATCATAACATTTCACATATATTTTTTAGAGTAAGGATTTTGCTTAGTAAAATGTGCCTAGAAGAATTCTGATGCTGTGTGCAGCCTATAAAAAACTAGGGAATCATGTGTTCATTGCTTATCCAGCAATACTTATTCCAGGAGTTTTATATTTTTGAGTCTTACATCTAGATCTTTAACCATTTTGAGTTAATTTATGTATAGGGTGAGTTGTAGACTGACTGTTGCTGTCCCTCTTATCCCCAAATTCATATGCTGAAGCCCCAACTCCCAGTGTGTGTGTTTGGAGATGGAAGCTCTAAGGAAGTCACTGAGGTTCAGTGAGGTCATGAAGATGGGGCTCTGGTCTAATAGAATTAGTGTCCTTATAAGGTGAGACAGCAGATCCCTGCATTTACACTAAGAACAAATCATGTGAGCAAGCAGCAATATAGAAGCTGCCTACAAGTCAAGAGAATAAAACCTACTGTACCAGTTTCCTTTAATGTATTGTCAGATAAAAGTAGGCAAAACGTGAAGAGAGGAAAGTTGAAGTCTCCAAATGGATAAATGTGTATTGTAGGGACTTAAGTCCTCTTCTATGCATAACTAGATTTCTAGTCTTTTGTTACATATAAACATTCCACATAACAGTTTTAGACTTGTTTAATGTATCATGGAAATTACTAAGAGATCTCAGAGAATAGGGAATCAGAGAGAGAAACACTAACTTCAGTTTTTGTCAGAGAAGGATAAAAGGTGAAACAGAACTTATTCTCAAGAACAAGTACCATCTTCCAACATTGCTTATATCTTGAGTTGCAGAAATGCACTGTGGTAATGAAAACACATTTGTGACAAAGCATCGGATTAATACAATTTAGCTAAAGCCTTACATCACTGTAATAACTATGGGGTAAAATTCATTTGAATTCTTTTTCCACTTATACATCTTTTATATAGGCCGGGCGCGGTGACTCAAGCCTGTAATCCCAGCATTTTGGGAGGCTGAGGCGGGTAGATCATGAGGTAAAGAGATCGAAACCATCCTGGTCAATATGGTGAAACCCCGTCTCTACTAAAAATACAAAAAATTAGCTGGGCATGGTGGTGCGTGCCTGCAATCCCAGCTTCTCAGGAGGCTGAGGCAGGAAAATTGCCTGAACCCAGGAGTCGGAGGTTGCGGTGAGCCGAGATCGCGCCATTGCACTCTAGCTTGGGTAACAAGAGAGAAACTCCGTCTCAATAAATAAATAAATAAATAAATTTTTTATATAGGTGGGAGCAAGATTCCAAAAGCTAAATTACTAAAAATTATGCATTGAGAATATCATGCCTCTACCCAGTGAAGTTTCTTTTAGAGTGGACAAATATTTTGGCAGTCATGAAAGTGCAATAATTTAAAATGTTCAGGTTCAATGACAAGAAGACTTTTATATAAGTACAAGATTCTTAAGTTATTCCTTAATCCCATCCATATAGATATTTGAGAAGCTTTTTTGACATTACATATGGAGTGTAGATAAAGCAGACACTGAGGTCTGCCTGAGTGGGTTCATTCGTACCTCTGCTGGCCTTTGATTCTCCCTCAGTGCTTAACACTAATGCTGCTGACAGACCTGTTTCTGCATTCCAGCGTTGTCACCTAATTATTTGCAGAACTCTGGAATCTGCAAACATTCAGAGGCTAGTGTTGAAACTGAAAAATTTCATATAATAATTAAATTATTCTTTAATTCTTGTTATGTGTATAAGGAAAAATATCCGGGAATAGTCACTTTTGAGATTTTTTTTTTTTCCTGATCACAAACAACTTTCAAGTAAGAGCATCAGCCTTGCACACAAGTCAGTTTCTTGTTTTTATTACTTCTTAAATCTCAAGTTCCACTGATGCTTCAGAACTCTCCAATTTTCCTGTTAAAACATAAAATCAAACCTGTTTTTCTTTCTGAAATGATAAATTTTGTACTGAAACAGCATATAGACTACCAGAGAATGCTATTTAAAAATATTTAAAATTTCCAAAGAAGAGATCTAAAATATAGCACATGTTTTTAAATCTAGTTCAAAAAGTGCTCTTCTAAATTAGAAGAAATGTAATAGATTCAGATTGGCCATGAGTAGTTTATCTGAAATATTTTTCCATCAGTACTACCTCTAGAGCATTAAGTTTGGTGATTCTGCTTCTCCTTTTATAAAAAGAAAATTCTAATATCTCTCACAGTTTTACAGATAGGACAACAAAGTGTATATATCTCTGTAAATAGTGTTACTGATCAGAAGAATTGACTCTAGCAAGTCTCAAGAGTTAGAGAAAGCAATTATTATACTCAGTTCTCTACTTTTCTGAAATGTAATTATTACATAGCATTAAAAACATTCTTTCAAACAGGGATCAGTGGGTTCAATGGATTGCTGACAATATTTATTTTCCAATAAAATCAAGTTTTTGAAAATACACCTGAGAAACATTTCTGCAATCTTCCTAATATATATAATGTAAAACTGAGGATGGTGGGAAGAATCTTTGAAGAACTGAACCCAGGAGCTGGGTGTAGAACCTAGGCAGGAAATGGTATTATAATTCTAGAAAATTGATGATAATATGTCCCCCAAGGTAGCAGTACATCTATATATAAGTAGATTGCCAAAGATGTCAAAAGAACAAACATGTGTCTAAATCAGAAAGTGACGCTATGTTTAAAGACTTTCTCTTACATAGCTGATGTAAAGCACTAAAAAGACTCTAAGAGAACAGGATGAAAAATAGACCTATATCCTTTGGGCATGTGTTTACATGAAATACATTTTTTGAAAGGGATAGAGATTTGGAAGTAAGGATTAAAAGATCTAGAATATCCATTATCCAAGTAAAGTGAGTTCTAGTTCATGACATTTGAGATTCGACTGTCACAGAAGAGAGAAGACAGAGAACGCTGGGCCTACTCTGACTGTATCCACTAGTTTTGGTTTAAGAAAAAAAAAAGCCCAAATGCTTATTTTTAACTTTGAACAACAAGAATAGAGGGAAAAAAAGGAGAAAGAAAGAAAAAAATAGAAGAGAAAGAAAGAAAAAATGAGAAAAGAAGGAAATAAACCAAAATATAAGAGCAACAGTGTGTTTTCCCCTAGAAAATAGGCATTTCTTTTTTTTTTAATTGAACACTTCAGAACTTTCGTGTCATCCTTACACAGGGACAATGCTAATCTCCGTCTCGTTCCAATTTTAGTGGACGTGCTGCCAAAGTGAGCACGGTTTCTTTCTCTAAACATCTTACAGTAGTTTAAAAAATCTTGGCGCACCATTTAGTATCTATCCTAAGTGCTGTCCAGGAGATAGTAATTAATTCCAATTTACCACAAGCGCCAATATCCCATTGTTAAGTGGTTTTAAGAATTATTTAATGAAAACTCAGAGATATAAACAAAGAAGATGGAAAATGACTAACATACAACTGTCTATCCCTGACCCGACTCCATGTCGCTTCCCTCCCTTAAGCTGCTGTCCTTAAACATTTCTGGGAAATGTTCTTTCATTTATTGGTGCCACTAGCAATTCCAAGAACAGAGTTTGAGCTATGATTCCTATTGGTTTATGTGTGTTTATCTAAGCTCAAACAATTTTTTAATTAAATGTTTTTGTGTCCTATACCTACTCATTTATGATTAAATTGTCCATCTGGATGAAGTCAAGCAGGCTGTAAGCCTTTTGACCCAATGTGAAGTGTCCAAATGTTCAAACAAGGCAGTGACAACGTCCTTTGGGATAAGGGAAAATTTAATCCGGCTTTATTGGCTTGGATTCTATACCTAGAAAGCCTTGCCACTAGCATTCAGGCATTTAGGCACACAAAAAAGAGGGATTTTAGTAGCTGAAGTATAAACACATTTTCTGGGTAACTAGTTTCTGACTCAAGAATGGTAGAAGAAAGCACTAGAATTCTAGCAAAAAATATGCATAAAAGCTAAAATATGTTTTCAAAAGTCAGAAAATATTAATCTCTTTTTTTGTTATGCATAAATCCTAGGGTTTCTGGCAATAATTTAGATTATCTGTAACAGAATTTTAACTGCCCCTAAGGAAATGTAGTAATCACCATTTCTGGAAAGATGTCTTTGATGTACTCTTTCACCTGGAACACGGACTAGGCCCTGGGAACAGTTTTCAGGTAGCTCCTGAATGGCATTTTGAGTAGCTGCTAGGATGGTTTAAGTATAACCCATTACATAAAACTGGAGTCACAATGCTGTAACTGCTGGCTGGGAATTGTTTCACTGAGCAAATAGTTTAACAAACATTCATCTTTAGCAAACATCCTTCAATCAAGATTCAGTTCCTGGGAACTTGTGTCACAAAAATCAGTTCTATTATTTTTCTCAAATCTGTGAAGTTGATTTTTCCTTAGGGTTATAATATTTAGATTTAAATTTGGTAATGGTTTATTTTATACACTTTCTTAAAAGAGCTGGATGTCTTGACCATTTCTGGTGGGAAACCATAGTTTATGTGGTCTTTAGGGACAACCACTGTCCCTCATAGTATGTGATTTTTACTAGCTACAAATTGATGTTCAGGATGGGATTTAGGGAGCCTGGAGAATCTGGGCTATTTGTAGCCATGGCACTTAATAATCTATTCCAAATGATATTCTACTTCTACCATTATAAGAAACTATCTGATTCTTAAAATTCTCAAAAGGTAGATTTGTTTTTGTTAAAGATATATGTATATGTGTGTGTATGTTTTATATATATATATATGCATACTCACATAAGAAGCTTAAAGATTATGTAAATATATGAATTGCATAGCTGAACACTGATTAAGATTAAGCTTAAAGATATATATGTATATATACACATACACACACACACTCAATAAGTTTCAAGATTACATAAATATACGCATTGCATAGCTGAACATTGGATCTGTGTCTCAACTTCATTTCAATAACAAAGAAAATATATTTGGTACCTACATAAATAATTCCTTGAATATGGTTGCTCTCATAGTTTCCATCCCATTTGATTTTCACAGAAACCTTGATATGTGGTGTTGTCTCCATTATAAAGAGCAGGAGATTGAATCTTACTAATGCTTGATGATGGACTTTGAACTTTGGAGTTAGCTAATAAAATTTTGAAAAACAGAATGTAAACAAACAAACTTAAAAAACAATCAAAGAAACCCATTTTGGAGTGTTTTCAATTGCTCTTGACTTGAAGAAATCATTCTTCTTTGAGTAAATGTTACAAGATTATTTGTACAACTCAAGGGATTAAAAAAAAACCCAAACGAATAAGCAAACAAACCTTGGGGAGCGGCTGGTGAGAGCAAAAATCATTTAATTTTGTGTGTGGCTGCCAATCGCTTCTTTTCCAAACACACAGCACCTCAAAAGCACCCTATTTATATAATTAGTCCAACGAGCCAGCTATGGCACAACTCCTTGAGATGATTCTGTATTGCGATTCTCAGGCTCATAAGTAGGATGCAGGATTCCCAAACTAGGTCTTTCTTATTTCCATCTCAACAGTGTAGGAGGTAAACTGTTAGCAAATCTTATTTCTCCCAGCATCTTTGTAGTCCCTTAAACAGGAATCAACAAACCATATTCTTCAGTTTGGCCTTGGGGCTGGCTTTCCTTTCATATGAAATTCATTATACACTGTCTGAGTCTACCTGTTTGTGGTTGTTTTGGTATCTTTTCAAAAGTTTTCTTACACTCATCAAATGGCTTTTTCTGTATCAGAAAAAAACTTTATCCGAAATGTGACATATCATACTATCAAGAACCAATGGCATTTACCCACCACAAATAAAACTCCTTTTTGTTTCAGAGTTCAGTTAGAGAGCTAGCCATGCTGTGGTTATTAGTCCATAGTAACTCCAAGGCCAGCAGTCTTGGGAGTCAAGCTTGGAACGCCTTTTATCCCCTAATTATATATTTTGTGTCTCTCTAGGGAGCGGTGAGAAAGTCTTGTGCAGTTACAACTCCGCCAGTATCAGTCTCAACTCCCAGCTGGGCCCTCGCCCCCAACTTTCTTCATAGTTAGCTGTACCTTCAATTTTTATTTTTAGGGCCACCATTCTTACTTCCAGCAAATGATGTGTGAGCAGGGGAATTTATTATGCTCTGGTGAGGGAAACTAATGCCTGGAATTCTTGTCATTTCCAAGTTACTAAAGCAGTACTTTGAGAATTAATTTTAAAAATTTTATGACATAAAGAAAACTGCTTCTTTATTTCACATTTTCTGTGTGTGTGTGTGTTTTTTTTCTGTTTAAGTAGCTACAGGGAAATTCATATAAATGAAGTAAAAATGTCAGTACAGGTAAAAAATTAATTATTTTATTTTAGCAAGATATGTCACATATTTTTCTTTTTATGTGTGTATGTATTTGTTTTTTCAGAGATGGAGGTGGGGGTTGCTGTCTCGCTATGTTGTTTAGGCTGGTGTTGAGCTCCTGGCCTCAAGTAATCCTCCCACCTTGGCCTGCTAAGTAGCTGGGATTACAGGCGTGAACCCAGTTTATGGATCACATGTTTTTCTAAGAAATATGAAGAAAACACTGTTTTTTATATTGGCAGACATTTATATTTCCACTGAGAAATGGAATTGAAATTCCTTTTTTTTGAGACAGTCTTGCTCTGGCACCCAGGCTAGAGTGCAGTGGCAAGATCTTGGCTCACTGCAACCTCCACCTCCTGGTTTGGAACAATTCTCTTGCCTCAGCCTCCCAAGTAGCTGGGATTACAGGCGCCTGCCACCATGTCTGGCAAATTTTTGTGTTTTTAGTAGAGATGGAGTTTCATCATCTTGACCAGGCTGGTCTGGAACTCCTGACCTCAGGTGATTCACCCTCCTCAGCCTCCTAAAGTGCTGGGATTATAGGCATGAGCCACTGCACCCAGCCAGAAATTTCATTTTTATTTAGAAATTAGTTTAAGAGATCTAATAAATTCATTTAATTAAAATAATTACTATGAGTAAACTATTATAAAGTCTTAAAAAAGCATCCTGTAGAAACAGATATCCACAGTTATTCATAGAGAACTTTTGTTAAACTGTGAAGTACTGTTTACATATTTTATTATCGTTTCTATATTAATTTATTTGACATTTGACCTGAACATTCAGAACTTTGTTATTCAGTGCTGAATTAAGTAATATTCTCTTTTAAGTTTAGGAATCTCTCCTATGATGTTTATATCCCTTAAAAGACAAAGTAGTAATTTATAGGTTTGTAAAGAATCATCTTTTAGCCGGGCACAGTGACTCATGCCAGTAATCCTAGCACTTAGGGAGGCTGAGGTGGGTGGATCAAGAGGTCAGGAGTTTGAGACCAGCCTGGCTAATGTAGTGAAACCCCGTCTCTACTAAACATACACAAAAATCAGGTGGGCATGATGGTTCATGCCTGTAGTCCCAGTTACTCGAGAGGCTGAGGTGGAAGAATCGCTTGAACCTGGGAGGTGGATGTTGCAGTGAGCCAGGATCATGCCACTGGACTCCAGCCTGGGTGACACAGCGAGACTCTGTCTCAAAAGAAAAAAAAAAAAGAAAAAAAAAAAACGAGATTCATTTTACAAATGTATGTAGGGTGCTTACTAAGATAGACAGGCCCATGAGTTTTGACAAAGGCAGACAAATGCATCACCATCATTAAGATGTGGAAGAACACTCTCACATGCACAGTCCTGGTGCTCCTCCTTTGTAGTCAGATCTTCTCCCTGGCCTGAATGGGGCCTGAATGGGGCCTGAATGGCTGGCAGCCCCTGGGCTGTTTTCTGTTTCTGTGGTTTTGCCTTTTCCAGAATGTTATACAGGTGGAACCACCTTCTGAACTTGACTCCTTTTGCTTGGCACAGTGGCTCTCACCTGGGAACAACCTTGGCCTCTTCAGGGGACATCTGGCAATCTCGGGAGGCATTGTTGGTTGCCACAACGAGGGGGACTGGGAAAGTGCAGCATGGATCTAGTGGGAAGAGGCAGGGAGGTGGCTAAACATCCTCCCATGAGCGGGACACCTCCTACAACAAAGAATGATCTGGCCTAAAACAGTGATGAGGTTGAGAAACACTAACTTAGCAAAACACATTTGAGATTCATTCGTATTGTTGCATGTATCAAACAGTTGGTTTCTTTCCTTTTTTATTGCTTAATAATATTCTGTTTCATAAATGTATTATAGTCTGTTTATTCATTTACCTGCTAAAGGACATTTGGGCTGTTCTCATTTTTTTTGGTAA